TAGAAAGAATAATGGAGAAAACTGATTAGTAATTGGGCCTCTCTGACCCATCCTTCCAGATATGTTGAAACTACAAGTTGTCTATAAAGACAGAGATTTTAAGAAAGTGGTGGTAACATGATATAACATTATTATAGATCAGAAAAAATCTGTTTCATTATAATTGAGATAAAACTAAAATAAATAAATTCACCAATCTTTACTTTTGAAAGTTCTTTTCCTTTAAAAAAAAAGTTGTCAGCCAAGAAATAATTACCCATTTGGATTGGCTTAAAGAAAAGTAAAGGTGGACTCAGGGGAATGAACTTGAAAATTAAGAGCGTCTGGTCCGTGTACGATCGAGATTCGATAAAGCTTGGACTTAAATTGAAGACCTTAAGCTTGGTGTTTCAAAGTTGGCTGAAGCACTCGTTCCTTCGACATGCTGGCTGACAATAAGAGCGAAACCAAGCGATGAAAGTAGGAGCGAGAAGGAAGGAACCAAAGAGAATGAAAGGGAAGAAGGAAGGATCGAAGAGAGAGTGTGTACTTCTGCTAAAACCAGCCCCAAGCTTGTGGAAAATCCGCACTGGGAGGAGGTGGAAGGTTGAAAGAGAGTTTTAGGGACATTGTTCCATGAACGTAGTATGGATCGATGCGATGCCAGGCAAGCGTTAAGGGTACATCGCATCGTTCTATGGGCCCAGCTCTTAAATGCGACAGCCACCCTCACCATAATATCAACTCCCATAGACATAGAGTTCAAGTTTGTTCCCTAAACACCATATCAACGTCGAGTGCAGTTACGGTCTTTGCTCGTTAGAACAAAGTGCACATATATCCTCTATAACATCTGGACTCTTTGTTACGGTCAGGATGTTATAATAATAGGTCATTAGGCTCGAAGTTTGATATAAATAGAAATTTCTTTTTGCCAAAAGCAGTAACGATTCTACGCAATTAAACCTTACACACAATATGAAAAAAACTGTATACATTACGATTAGATAAAATTTAATTTAATTTGATTAATTTAATTCATCACGTTTAAATATCACAAGAAAATATTTTTTTTATTGTCTTCATTATATATTCTTATTAACTCTACGCCGTTAAATTCAACATCATATAAGGCTGTCAAAATAAATAGATTTCACTTCAATAAAATTTTAGAAAATTCTACACAACAAATTAAAAATTTTAACGTTAAAAATTATTTTTTGATTCACGGTCCTTAATAATTGGGAAGATATTTTCACTTGCCTAAGCATGATCTTTAGTAGGTTCCCAGGTGGAAAAGTTCCAGGTAGTGACTACCGGGAACTTTTCCACCTGGGTTAAAGAAGTGTAACAATATAAAATTTTACTTCAAACAAGATACTAATTTATTATTTATTTAATTAATATAGATGACAGAAATAATATTAAGACGAAAAATACAGAATATGATATTTGTGCGCAGAGTTATCTGGCGTTAAAGTCAACGGCGTAGAGTTAATAATATATAATTAAAACAATAAAAAACATATTTTTTTGTATTGCAGAATTAATTAAGTAGCGTTCGTAGAATTGGTTGGTAATAATTAAATTATTCAAACTAAATTACACTTTATTTAATCATAAATAAAAAAAAAAAGTAATCCAAGTTTTTTTGTGAATAATATTAACGAATTTGTAAAAACTTAAATCTGGAGGAAAAAAGTGTACAACTGAATAGTTACTTTTTGAAAGAATATACAGGTTCTCAGATATAGTACTACTGGGATCTAGCGACGGTTGTAAATTTTCTCCTGGGAAATATTGCGAAACATCTATAAAAGAATTTATAGAAACTTTTATACTAAACTCTTAAAACAATAAGATGAGTTCTTTTTATATCCTATTGGTATAGTAAGGTTAGTTAGAATATAAAAAATTGAGGAATAATCTTACTTTAGGAGGTACTTCTGTTATCGTAGAGACAAATCCTGAAATCGTACCGATGGTTTTACAGTCAGAGTTCGGAGCTTAAGCTTATTTCTGTAAACCAGGATTCTAGTTTCCTACTGTCGTTAGGGAGAGTTATAAGCTCTAAGTACACACTTAAGCTTCATTTGTAACACCTGGACTAAGGTGTTGAAAGTCGTAAAGATCCGAACTAATTCTCTGTCCTAACTCAAAGTCAAAAATTATAAACTATAAACATTTATGAATTATATTTAATGCAAAATGCCCCCATTCCTTTTCTTCAATTAATAAGAAATTGGAAAATTAAATTAATTTTTATTTTAATTTGTTAATATGTTAAAATAAATAGAATATAATTCTTCGATAATTCCAATGGAAGTTTTCAACTTGAAACTGGTGTACGAGTCATGTAAAAGTTTACGTATTGCAAGGAACATTGGGAAAATACACAGTATACATTATTTCTCCATAGGGGCATTTAATTCGATTACTTTCGACAATTATATGTACTCACAGGAGTAACTGTAAAATGCATTAGCATACAATAGCGTAAATGGGAGAGAAGTTTATACCGACAGTATAGAGAAAAGCGTGATAATGGGAAATTCGGGTTTATCAATTGGACACAGGGAAAAAATTGGTAGGCTCATTATTGTTATGATACAAATTTAACCAATGCTAAACAACATTACAGATAAAATCTGAACTCAAAATTATCTCCGCACGATACTTATTTTGCGCTTCAACATATGTGGGGCGCATGATTATCTCATAAAAATCATTAGCTAGAATTTTCATTTGTATGAATTTCATTTGATAGAATTTCTATTTGGACGAATTTTCATTTTTCGAATTAGTATTTCAATTACTTTCTTTGTAAACGAAATTTTATTTAACATAGTTTTTAGGTACCGAATTTTAATTTAATATGATTTTTATTTTACCAAATTTTTTGTTATCCAACTTTTTATTTTATAGAATTACAATTTAAACCAATTTTAATTTATCAAAATTCGCATTCAGCAGAATTTCAGTGATTCTAATTGTATAATGTCAGAATTTTTAAACTATCGAATTTCTATGTGTCAGAATTTTTATTTACATGAATGTTTATTTGATAGAATCCCTAAAACAGAGAATTTCCATTTGATAGAAATTACAAATGGTCGAACAAGCAAGCGTCAGAAAGATTTCGGTGCTAATTTTAAAATAAACCAATTACAATTTTCTTAATAATTTCTGATTGGTCTATTTTAAAAACTGCTCCGAAATCTTTCTGACGCTTGCTTGTTTGGCCATTTGTAATTTCTATCAAATGAAAATTCGCTTATATTGCATAGAAATTTGAAATAGAATTGTCTTGCACTGAATATTGAAAAAGAATTATCTTGCACAATTTTTTTTTGTTAACATTGTATTGCACTTGTTCTACAATTAGAATTATTAATTTAATTAAAAATAATTTTCTGATTTTTTATGTCGCGGTTTTTATGTTAAGATAAAAAAATCGTTACAAGCGGCACTGAAAATCATCGAATAAAAAAATTTTATTAATCTGATGTCATATTCGTAATCTGCGATACCGAAAACACCATAGTAACAACACTCAGAAAAAAGATATCTTTGAACCAAATGTACCATTTTTTTATATTTACCCAATTTTTTGGTTAGTTCAAACAAAATTTGTTTAATTCAAATAAATATTTATTTGATCTAAATAACTGTTTGGTTTATATTATTTTAATAAATTTTTTGAACAAAGAAAAAATTTGATTGAGCTAAATAAATGTTTGGTTTATGCAACCAAATGTTTGGTTAACTGTATATCAATTTATTTATTTTGTTGATTTAACCAAAATTTGGTTGCTTCAAACGAATTTTTTTCTGAGTGAAGTTTAAATCAATTACAAATAGTTTTTTAATTTGCTTTGTAACCGATACTTTTAATTTTGAATTTTCGACCGCCATGTTGAATTTTGAAAAACTGACCTCAGATTCGTAATCAGCGATCCTAAAACCTATAAGAATAACTGCAGCTTTCTTTTTTTAAATGTAAAATTTATCCTGGGGGTGAATGGGTTAAAAAAAATTTGCTTTAATTAATATGTTGAATATATGGTTTATTAAATATGTATTGAGTTTAATCAAAATTAAAGTGAAAATTACAATGACAATTATCAGAACCATAACAATTAATTTTTAAGATTTCTCATTTTTATAAAATTAATCAACCTTTTGAATACGTAAAATTTTAAAACTGAAATGCTAAATTAATACTCTAATAATTTATATGAATTACCTCAAAATTTGTCGTATTTTGAAAAAGTCAGCTGAGTTTCATAAATGAAATTATGACACTTTTACCCTTACTGAATTTTGTGTAAATAATAACCAAGCACTCATCACTTATAAAATATCGATTGAGAGGGTGCTTATATGCACATTTTAACTGGAGAGTAAAACGATTCGTTTTCGGTTTGCTCAATAATATCCAGGGTCAGCGCCCATGGAAGTGCTGTGCGTTATTGGCGGTCGGCCAATATCGGTGATTTAGCGCAGGATCCGTTGCTGGTTATTGCGTGGGAACGCGGTCTTCTTATTTATATGTTACAAGGTGTACTTTTATCGGGTGGCTGGGAAATAAAGTACCTGCCGTTTGCGGCCTCTCTCTCTCTTTCTCTCGTGTAAAATAAGCGATTTTCACCGCCTTCTCACTGCATACTCTGTATTGCAAAAGTAACTTCCCTTACATTACGTAATTTAACTTCCACAAAGGTTTCGCTGCGTGGTATTTAAGGGTCTTTAGTAAATCGAATAAAAAAAAAGCTTAGAAAACTATCTCATTAAATTACTTTCACAATTTTGTGAATTGTTTTTTTTCATAAACTTTCTTTAGATATAAAATTTGTGTTGTATTGATTTGAATTTTTATAATTTAGATGTTGTAATGGTATAGGAGGGTCTGAAGTATTTAAATATGAATAGGAGATATGGTATTCATTTAAATTTGAAAAAACCATTGAAGAAAGTACAACTGAATGAAATTTTATTTGCAAAAAAAAAAAATTTGTTACCTGGACAGTTCTCTTTGAAGATGGTGTACCCTGGAGCGCGCTCGTTCGGTCTCGGTCGTAGCCTCACGAAGGCGAGCTTCTGCCTCCATTCGTTGTCGCCGTTCTCGTTCCACATCTCGTTGCGTTGACTCCCTCTGAAACATTAAAGAATTAAATTATATCGTTTACTCATTCTGTATTTACTTCTATTTAGAATGATTCACTCGGTATTATAATTTACAGAAATTTCAGATTTAATCAATATTTCCGAATCAAAATTTTATTTCGTTTAATTTTAATTTCATCGTAATTTAATTTTTAACTTTTTACTAATTTTGACCCTAGATGATGCTATATTTTTTCAAAAGAATCATAAATAACATAAGAATACATTATCTCTTAGTGGCATAAACTTTTGTAATTATACTTTTTATGAAAAAAAATTACTGTATGTAAATTACAGTAAAAATGGTTTTCGCAATTCCAAAGAAGAAAAACGACTATGCTGACTTAGTAGGAATAAAAATAATATGAAAGAGAATCGTTCAAACTGACTGCGTAGCAAATCGATTTTTGCACATCTGTCCAGGATTGTTATTCCTTTAATAGTTTTACCACCCTTTAATGCACCCTTCGCTCATACTTTTTCTTTTTATATATATATATATCTTTTTGCAGATAATAGTTTTCACTTTGTTTTCTTTAAATTAAGTTTCAAGTTCCGGATGATTCTCCATTTTATTTATCTGTGTAATTAAATGAAGTAAACATGGCTACAAGAGGAAGCCCTAATTGGTAATTGAAGCCTTTATCAAACCTTTGTTAAGAAAAGAGACATGAGTCAGAGAAGTGAGATTTTCTTTTAAATTACATGTTCTATTCGAAACCTATATCATGATCACAAGGTTTCAAATAACAATCTATTTAGAGTAAAAAATCAAATATCAATGGGAGACAAATTGTGAAACAAATAATTGACTGCATGGAGAAATAAATTATAAGAAACTGAACATATTACCCTGTGGGCAAATAACCATGTTCGTTCTAAAAACGTTTTATGGACGTTCTTAGAACGTTTCATGTCCGCCAAATAATGTTCTGGAACATTTTAAGAACACGGATGTTCAAATAATGTTCCAGAACATTATTTGGTGGACATGAAACGTTCTAAAAACGTTCTTAAAACATTTTTAGAACGAACATGGTTTTTTGCCCACAGGGTACCAAAATGTTTTTTCATATGGTTATAAAAAATTAAATTTTAATTATACGAATCGAATGAATTTGTTGCTAGGATTAGATTTTGTTAGTATCAAACTGCAGGTGAAGAAAAACACTAAAGTCAAAATTTCCCTACTTCCTCAGAATTTGGTTTAAAAAATAATACATTAATCTTTTTGAGATTAAATCTATCAGAATATTTGCTGTTCTATTTGCTTTATTTCAAAGCCGAGACAAACAATAAGCTGGATTGTGTAACGTAATTCCTGGAGAAGTATTCAATTTCACAAACTCAATATCGACAAATTTAAAGGGTTTAGATTTTAGGTCTGTTAAGCTGGCACCACAAGTTTGATATTTTTAAATATCTCCTATGTGAGAATTTAGGGCTCAATTATGGCTAATTACCGCTCAAAATGAAAAATTTACCGCTCTTTATTTTTTTTTTTAAAAAAAGGCGGTTGGTGCTACCTTAACGTTAATCTGTCACCAACCGCTTAAAAAATCAAATAAAAAACGAGATATTTAAAAATCCACCCTGACACAATTTAGGGCATATTTAGGGCTTTCAAATGGACCAGTTTCGAGCAAATTTGAACAATTTGTAAAAAATTGTCCGCCATATTGGGTCCGCCATTTTGAATTTTATAAAACTGACATCGGATTCGTAATCAGCGACCCTGAAAACCCCTGAGTAACCAGTTTCGAGCGGATATGATCAATTTAAAAAAAATTGTCCGCCATATTGGATCCGCTATTTTGAATTTTGAAAATTTTTAAAATTTGGCTTCGGATTCGTAATCAGCGACCCTTAAAGCCTCTATAATGCACTTCAAAGATAAATTCCTGTTAAAGAAAAATGTATGCTTCAAAGGGTTAAAACAAATATAAAGATTTTTTTGATTTAGAAATTTTTTTTAAATTTCTTTATGTGTCCATTTTAAAGCCCTAAATGAGCCCTAAATTATGGCAAAGTCAAATTTTAAATATCTGATTTTTTATTTGGGTTTTGAAGAGAGTTGTGCCAGCTTATAGTTAAGGTAGCACCAACTCCTTTCTAAAAAAAACTATATGGTGGAGTGTGTTCTTTGATTTTGAATTTTTTTTTGAAAATTCTTTTCATGTCCATTTTAAAGCCCTAAATAAGCCCTAAATTGTGTCAGGGTGGATTTTTAAATATCTCGTTTTTTATTTCGTATTTTAAGCGGTTGATGCCAGCTTAACGTTAAGGTAGCACCAACCGCCTTTTTTTAAAAAAAAAAATAAAAAGCGGTAAATTTTTCATTTTGAGCGGTAATTAGCCATAATTGAGGCCTAAATTCTCACATAGGAGATATTTAAAAATATCAAACTTGTGGTGCCAGCTTAACAGACCTATTTTAGGTCTGTTTTAATTGTCAAATTAAGAGAAAATTACATAGTTTTATCAGTATGAATAGTAAGTTTGTTTAGTTCGCAATAGGAACGTAGATGCTTTCTCCAGATCAATGAATGAAAGAACAGAGAAGTAAACGTCATCAAAAATTATTGTTGGAAGTACTTCTTGGCACATATAACCTAGAGATAATATAAATAGAGTAGTTAAGACGCCCCGCGCGCCGTGAGTGTCCGCTCGATAGAAAGAGAAAAATAATAATCAATCCTTGTCTTTTTCTAGTCACGCATGCGCTACCGCTAAGTAACTTTATAATAAACTGTCATGTATAACTATGATGTGAAATGTCAGTGAAAACATGTGAAAATCATATTGATTTAAGACTGAAAGACGAAAGTAATAAATTATGTGACAGTAAATTTCCCATTAGGATGATGTACAACAAGTTGTTTGTCATCTGTTAAAATATTATATGTTCGCGGCCATCTTATCGGTTGATCGAGGTTATGTGTAAGGATAGCGCATGCGCAATTATACAGTCCATGAGCGTAAACTTTTTTTTAAATTTGTGGCTTTGCTTAAAGCAAGCCTAAACTCATAAAGAGTGAGAGAGATAACAATATACTTTAATCCAAACCAAAAAATTTAAGCGCGCTTATTTCTGTCATAAGTCTCAACCGTTTTAATCACGTTCCATCCCTCGTCGGCCGAATATTGATTTTTTCCATTGATCTCTGCTTTAAAATCATAAATTCGAATTCTAAATTAGTCGTGCAATCTATAAATAAATTTTAAGTTTAGTTGTTTTTTCAAAAATAACTTTGCGAGTTGGATGAACAGAAGTGAATTTAACAACATGTTAAACATAAAAATTGTCTTAAGGGGCTAATCATAATACTGATTACTCTAATTAAAAATAAATATAAAAACTGCTGCCAAGTTGAAGTATGAAATTTTTGTGTTTATTTCATGAACACTTTGCTTCCTCATGGAAATTTTTTGTTATCGATTTATGGTAACTTATTTAGTATTATAATAATTTTAAAAAGGTGTTAAGTTAAATTTTTTGGGCGTTTGCGGAGATAGATTTTTAACATCAATAACTTCGTAATATTTTATAATAAAAGGTTCAATAATAGGTCAATTGATTCGATTTTAAATATTCTCCATAAATTGTTTATAATAATTTTAAAATTACATAAAATTTTTTTGTAAAATAATGCAAAAAAAGGTATGTTTTTAAAAATTTTTTTCAAAATGTTATTAACTCTGGATAAAATAACAGTAGGATATACGCTAATTACAATTAATAAAAATATTCGTTAGCAATATGTACTATTGTTTGATATATATTTTTTTATTTATTATATTTATCATACATATTTATAAGAATAATTCATCATAAAACACATGCTTTTCATTAAGAGTTTTTGACAGCTAAAAAAACATCCAATACTTTTGAAAAGACACAGATAGAGCTGCCGAAATGAAAAAGAAGATGATTTGTTGTCAGTTGCAGTGAGAAAAGGGAGTCAAAATTTTATATTTCACAATGGTTCTCCAATGATACATCACACAGCGGTTACACATACAATCTCATTCAACACATCTCTGTATATAGTAGATAGATGTTTCCCCTCTGCTATTTCTCCTTCAGGTCAATGTAAACTCAGAGGTGATAGGTTTACATTCATTTCATATTGTACTATTAGAATGTCAGGGGTCAATGATATTGTCTTGAACTCTCTATAGTTATTAACACAATAGCTTTAATGGTCCTTTCAATTTTATTCAGATTCAGAATCAGCGCATCGAAAATTGTCGGAAAATTGACAATAAAATTAATTTCTACCCTTGTGTAATTAAGAATATATCCTTCTTAATTCTTCTTGTTTAAACCTCTTGTAGACCCTCCTTTAATCCTTAAATCACTTAGAAATGTATGTAACTGAATAGTTGGAGATGGTAAATAGGGTGCTCATTAAGCTTTGCTTATACAAGATTATCTCTCTGTAAACATCAAATTTATAGACCAATTATTTGCAATAGTGACAAAATTTTACGATTCTTTCTAATTTTGAATCAGTGAAAAAGTCACCAATGTCAAATCAATTGCTAAATTTTAGCTATACATTTGAATTGGAGGTTTCCACTGACAATATGAAATTTTACTGAAAATTAAAGATTTTTACTGAATATTTGATTTGATATCAGTGGATTTTTCACTGATATAGATTTAGAAAGTTCAAGAATTACAAAAATAAGTTTCAATTTATTTATTTTTGAATCAGTTCACATAGATGTATAACCTGATTTCTTAAGTTGAGAGAATTTTCCACTAATTCAGAAGAGTGTCTTTACTATGGTCCATTATTATTTTACTGTTTTTCTTAAGATTTGTAAAAGCATTGATCCTTAGGGGAGAACAAGTAAAGAAGGAAATTGAATTAATCAGTATAATTTTGTTGTTTTACTTATAGAAATCAGTTGATCTTTTCAAAGCCTTCTTTTCTAAATGTAATAGTCTCCTTCGAAGGGCCGCTTTTTTCCTAGCCAAGA